TGGTACTGAAAGAAGAAGTCCAAGCTGCACTGAAGGCATCGGTGAGAAACAAGGCTCCAGGAATTGATGGAATACCAACTGAGATGTTTCAACAAACAGATGCAGTCCTGGAAGTGCTCATTTGTCTATGCTAAGAAATTTGGAATTTAGCTATCTGGCCAACCAACTGGAAAAGATCCATATTTATGCCTATTCCCAAGAAAGGTAATCAACCGAAAGCAGAAATTATCAAATAAAGTCGTTAATATGACAGACAAGTAAAATTTTGCTGAAGATAATTAAAAAGCGGCTGCAGCAGTACATCAAGAGGGGAACTGCCAAAATTCAAGCTGGATTCTGAAGAGGACATGGAACCAGGGATATCATAGCTGATGTCAGACGAATCCTGGCTGAAAGCAGAGAATACCAGAAAGAAGTTGACCTGTGTTTTGTTGACTATGCAAAGGCATTTGATTGTGTAGATCATAACAAATTATGGATAACATTGTGAAGAATGGGAATTCCATACCACGTAATTTCCCTCATGAGGAACCTGTACGTAGATCAAGAGGCTGTAGTTCGAAGAGAAGAAGGGGATACTGAGTGGTTTAAAGTTAGGAAAGCTATGTGTCAGGGTTGTATCATTTTACCATACTTATTCGATCTGTATGCTGAGCAAATAATCTGAGAAGCTAGACTATATAAAGAAGAATGGGGCATCAGGATTGGAGGAAGACTCATTAACAAACTGCATTATGCAGATGACACAACCTTGCTTGCTGAAAGTGAAGAGGACTTGAAGTACTTACTGATGAAGATCGAAGACCACAGCCTTCAGTATGGATTACACCTCAACACAAAGAAAACAAAAATCCTCACAACTGGACCAATAACCAACATCATGATAAACGGAGAAAAGATTGAAGTCCTCAAGAATTTCATTTTACTTGAATCTATAATCAATACCCATGGAAGCAGCAGTCATGAAATCTAAAGATGCATTGCATTGGGCAAATCTGCTACAAAAGACCTCTTTAAAGTGTTGAAAAGCAAAGATGTT